TACTCAACTAGCGGGAGCGGTCATAAAGATATTATATAAATTAATTTAGTTGGTCGTAAACTCGCAAAGAGTACCTACGTTGGAAATCTGAATACTCACAGACTCGGGTTTACCGCGGCCAGTGCTCAGTACTATAATAAAATAATCATCATGATATAGGAACGACAAACGCTGCAACGCTAACGCTTAATTAAAAAAAAAAAAAAACAAACATTTTAATTGCCCGACCCGGAGATAACGCATAAGTTATGGGGTACATAGTGTATCCGGTGACGACGCCTGCTATAATAATATATTATGCTAGGTATATAGCTAAAACCTAACGAAATTGGATTTTTAATAATACTCCTAGTTGCGTTTCAGCGGGTTATATGGGTACAATTTTTTTAAAGCGATTTTAGATTTCCAAGACCCATCGATACGGGTAATGCATGGGTAAAAAAACAAAATACTATAACGTGTATTGAGTTATTTTACTATATTATATATGTATGCGATATAGGTGCAGACTGCGAGTTACTTACTTGTATAATGATACGGTCTGATACAAAGTTCTCAGCGTGTGAGTGTTTGGTTAGCAATTTGGTTACGGTTTTATTATTCATAATACATGTCCGGCCCCGGGACAATGCGGTATTGTCGCCATCCATAAGTAATGTGGCATCTTCGTTTTACTTTGTGAGTTTTTACTTTGTTGTAGTACAAACTATATTGTCACATTTCAAGTTTTCCGATGGTTTAGTGATGAGAACATGGAAAAATATAGGGTTGGAATAACAACAAATTATGGTGTGGAGGGACACAATATATTTATAGCTGGAATAACTAAGTAAATAGTTTGGCCGCAACTACATGTTTAGTTATTCGAACATATACATTTATTGTGTCCCTCCATAATTTTAGTTGATCCAAATATGTATTTATTTCTGTGTATCTTAAAAAAGTTCGCTGTATTTTTGGCTACACGCCGCGGTTGTATTACTCGTATATTGTCATTATAGTTAATAACATGTACACTTGACACTACAAGTAAAGCAGTCCATCTCCGACGACGGGTAAATTCCATTCGGCCGTTAAATACCGACGACGGCGTTCCAAACACAAATCGCCCAAGCCGAATAGACAGATCGTCCGGTAGTCGGAGAGGGAACAAGATGCTAGGGGAGGCGCCGACACAGCATACAATTGTATACACTCTAGTTGCCACCTCCACCGGACCACCCCCGAAACATCCATTAAAATGAGACTAATTTGTTTTCACGGTTCGTTGGTCTTTGCAAGCTTTCGGGTTTTCAAAAATACATTATTTGTAGTCTCGCACACTCGCAAAGAAACGCGTCTGGGAAGTATAGAAAATCATCAAAAACTGCCAAATAGACGATACCCTATCGATATTTCATTGCGAGTTTCACCACGCAGATCGGTTGCAGCTGTTTTCGGATGTCATAATAATAATATCGCGTATATAGTAGTGGTACAGATAAATTGGTTGACGGTGGACACGCTATATGAATTATTCGGCTTGCACCATCACTTATGAACGCGTCCGACGGCCGTATTTGCAATAACAGCGGTTGTATATTACTATTATCATACATTATACGTAGGTAAATCAACGGTGGTTGTGTGTGTGGTGTTTAATACGTCCCTTGTGGTCCATACGCAGCGCAATGATATTATGTATGAAACGGCCAGTGCCCGGAATCTAATATCCGCTAGCGTGTGTGTAGTGTGTACCTACCTACCTCGGTATAAAATACAACCGCAATAAACACCGTCCCAGAAGGACATTTCATAAACATAATAATATCATGATAATAACTACAACGTTATTATATGGTGCATAAGTTAAAATGTATAGGACTAGCCCAACGTGTCGCCCTCGACATACGCACGGTTTGGTCCGTCCGACATTAATTAATATATAATTTTAATATTATACCCAACTGGCCCTAAGCGTTGGACAACATTGTCGTATGCTGGCGTCGAGCGAGGGAAATATAAAAACGAGAAACTACCCTAGACGGGGTTCGATCGTTTGCTATAATAGATCTTTATGCCGTTTGGAGACGAGCCTATATGTTACAATATCAGCCCGAATACTTCAGAGTTTGGCCCCGTAACGTTTAATCATTTGTGAATCGTAAAATCGGTCACCCCCGGCCCGCCTCCCTAAAATGACAGTACCTACCCCTTCTTTATACTCGGAATCGAGCTTCTGATTTTATCTTCGGCTTGCCTTGACCCACATGCCGGCGTTTTCGTTGTTTTCTCCATCGACGAGTAGTTTCTGAAATACAATACACTTGTAACCAAACTATCAATCAATTTACAGATTAAGCTGTAAAATAGATGAGCATAATATTACATTATGTACAGCGCCTAAGGTAGGGTTTTGGACGTTGAACGTTTTATTACTTTGGAAACGCCAATGCAGCAGCTTCACCACTGTAGCATATTATTTTAATGGAATAATTATTGATGGTCACTCGGCGCCTGGTTATGGTAATGATCTGGCTGTCATAATATTTTTTTTTTATAGTCGGAAAATGTATTATTGTAATTTTATAAGTGCTGCTTGCTGTTGATAATATTGTATTATACTTAACGCGACGTTATCGCAAGCTACTAGACAAATATTAACAATCAACTTTAACGACTTGTGTGCGATAGGCGTGTAACGAGTAAAATAATATGTAAAAAATAATTGTCTATAGGCCACACAATATAATAATAATTGTGAAACACATAATAATATTGTAATATTATGTCGACGTTTTATTTCGTGAAACGGTCACATGACAAACATTTACAATGTACATACAACGCAGAACATGAAACTAATAATAACAATAATTAATTCATGACTAAACACGTCTTTAAAGTGCTCATATCAGCAAGGCTGGGCAAGATAATGATGATGTATTAATTTCACTTAATAAAATTAGGTTAACCGACATTTTTATTTGTTCAAAATTAAATTAAACAAAGCTTATAATATAATCTCTTTGTAACTCTTCCAAATAGAGCTCTTTAGGCTTAACGACACTAATAGACACGTGCGAGAGTTGACAAAATGCATATTATCTTCCGCTAAAGAAATCCAATATCAAACTCAACTGAACTTATTCGGTTATTAACTGCTATTTTACGACCGTTCTGTCGGCCAGCGAACGATTAAACCGTTTAAAACCCAGAAGAACTGTTTTTTCTTTATAAAAAGACAATAGTTTATGGAGCGTAAACGCGTTTCGGAAGCCGGATAAAAAACGTCTCGCACGTGTGTACGTGCCCCTTCGATAATATAATGTTTTGTACATGCAGGTCGTTTAAATATAACCCTGGTTCAGAACGACCGTAATGCTATAATATTATATTCCTCTTAAGATTTTTTCTCGTTTCCCACTGTTCCTTTCTTGATCCGGTTAAGATGATGGGTCATCAACGCACGCCACGCTTAAACGAATCGCAGGGAAAAAAAAACATTACAAACGTCTCGTTTAAATACACACATGCCGAGTTTCCGTCAATTTTCACTACAATATTTATATATATACTTTTTTTTTTATACATTTTTGTTTTCATCGACATTGTCGCCGGCCCTACACTGTAGTAACCGCTGTTATGTATGTTATCTATGCTATTATTACACAGTATCTTCACACGACATTTCGCTGTTCACCGTGAACACATATTAGTATTATTAATAATGCATTGTAATCAAGTAATCTGTTATGCAATCGTCGCGATAAAGCAATAGACACGTTCGGCGGCGACTAAAAGCACTACAGCCTAACACTGAAACGATTGATGATAAAAAAATATTATAAAATTACTGTAGGATTCGTCGCCATGACCCGTTACCCTTTTAGATTGCGCGCCGGGTCGTGAAATACCAAACGGTAAACGATTATTGGAAACAATATATATTTTAAATGACCGTGTATACAAACGCTTAATCGAGTTACAGGTACACACAAACCACTTAATCATATTCCGAAGACTCATCAATCATCGGATCATGATAGTATATTCACGCGTAAACCCCCCCAACCTGACCCGAGAAGAGGGTTTTGTGAAATCTTTTCGGAAACGTATCATTTTTTTTTTTTTTTTTTGTTCACGCCCTCACGCCCTTTCGAAAAGAACCGATTGGAAACTATATTGGCGAGCGAGGGGGAGGAAAAACGATAATTGACACATATTTCATCACCCTCCATATGTATGAGTATGAGTGTACACTATACATACACATAATTTTCAGCTAGAATTACAGTTATATAATATTTCATATAATTTATGGAGTATAATTGCTGAGCAACAATAGCAAGGAATATACCGCTGAGATTATTGTTTGGGCTCGCTGGGGCGGGAGAAAAGAATTTGAAATTTTAAAAAGGTTCAAAGCAATGGAAACCAAGTAGTAGGGGTGGTAAATGGATAGCAATAGTACACGAGAATAATATGACGAATGGTTAGGGAAGCTTGGCGGATGGCGAGAATGAGGGTGGCAGACCCCTCTTGTGTAGAATGAGACGGCGAAAAAGGATTTAATGTGTACGCGTTGTGGCGTTATTATTGAAATAAATTATTATTATTACTATCATTATCTGTTTACACTTTAACCGGCGATCGTCTCAAGAGGTTAGGTCAATGCAAAAAAACCCGTTGAGATAAGATTCTTAACGATTAACGGTGGCTGTGTTGAGATACAATTTGTACAATAACAGTGTGTTATAAGTTATAACAATATCTAACCGTCAACGTTGCAAATAAGCATACTGTAATCGTTTTGTGACTATAAATGAAGAACTTAAAAAAAAACGCGAGCAATATTAATTTTTATTTTGTCACGCATTCGTTGTGTAATCATAATCATAACTTTGTATAAAGAACCATATTAATATTAGGAGCCTGTTTTTTTTATAATTGACAAATTAAACGTATTAACTACAATCAATCCGTGGGTTTAATGTGTGATTTGCTTTTGTGTGTTTCAGGCGTGTGACAGCCGACGGTGAACCCCAATGAGACGTACCTCAACGACAATGATGTTTAGCCGCGGTGCCGCGACTGCGGTATGGTTGATTATCGTGATGACCGCAGTAGTAGTCATCCAGGGCCACTGTCCGTCCAATTGTTCATGCGACGACGACACGCTAGTGGTGTACTGCAAAGATGATAACCTGGATGTCATCCCTATCACGTTGAACCCGTCCATTCAGAGGCTGGTATTAATGCACAACCGCATTAAGATCGTCGACGCCTCTTTCCAATTCTACGGGGCTCTCCAGTACGTGGACATATCGCACAACCATCTAGTCAACATACCGAACAAAGGGTTCGAGGCACAGGAAAAGCTCATCGAACTGCACCTCAACCACAACAAGATCTCGTCCATCAACAATAAAACGTTCATCGGTCTGGTCTCGCTTACAATTTTGAACCTGCGAGGCAACTACTTGGAAGACTTACCCGACAGGCTGTTTGCGGCCTTGCCCAAACTCGAAGAACTTGACCTGGGAGAAAACCGTATATCTCGCATCGATCCGGCAGCGTTTCAAGGTCTCAGCCGACTCCGAGTGCTGTACCTAGACGACAATCAACTCAGAGCCGTGCCTACGCCTTCCTTCAAATTCCTCGGTAACCTGGCCGAAATGCGAATCGGCCTAAACGCTTTCACCACGTTGGACAACGACTGCTTTACCGGCCTAAGTCGCCTTTCCGTGTTGGACCTCACTGGTGCCGCCCTTATCAATATCAGCACCGACGCGTTCAAAAGCCTCACCGCGCTCCGCCGGTTGGTATTGACCGACAACAGGTTGTCGGCTATACCCACTCGGCAACTGTCGGAGCTCAACCGTCTGGAAGAACTGTCCATCGGCCAGAACGATTTCACGACTCTCGAACCCAACGCTTTTAAAGGGTTGTCTAACTTGCGGACACTAGACATATCGGGCGCCGCTCAACTGTCGATAATCAAAAAGGGCGTTTTCACGGAAAACTTGAATCTGGAAACCATAAACTTCAGCAGTAACAAGCAACTTAGCACCGTAGAAAGCGGCGCTCTCATAGGATTGCCCAATCTTAAGAACTTGATTATGCGCAACAACGCATTTACGTCCTTTTCCGAATCGATGGTCACTTGGCAAGAACTCCAGCAGATCGACCTTACCGAAAACCCAGTGGTGTGCGAGTGCTCTGTGCTGTGGTTGAAGGAACTGTTGGTCCGTCGGAACACAAGCCTAATGGTATGCTCCGGTCCGGTACCGCTCAAAGGAAAGTCGCTCAATTCGCTCAGCTCGGAAGACCTGTCGTGTGCCAAGTTCTACACCAAACAGCAGGCTATAGTGGGTGCCGTATTCGGGTGCACCGTGGCGTTCATAGCGCTCATGATGCTTCTGGCGTACCGGTTTCGCAAACGGTTGCACCACTCGTTGAAGAAGACGTTCTGGTCCAAGGAAACGGTGGTCAACCGAAAGGATCTCGAGTATCAGAAGACATTTTCAGACGAAGAGTACATAGTGAGGAACTCGACCGCTCAACATGGCCAACACAGACCCTATGCAAGCGGCGTATCCGGCACCGTCGATCGCCGTCAACACCACCATCTCCACCACGGCCAGCAGCCGCCCAACCAGCATATTTACCAAACACCGCACCAGCTGCACGGCGGTCAGACTTTACAGCCTTATGCCCACCACCATCACCACCAGCAGCAGAACCTCTACCACCATCAGCTACAGCAGCAGCAGCAACAGCAGTTCTACCACCAGCAAAATACCTTGCCCCACCGCAACGACAACACTATACCGGTGACAGAGCTATAGCTAGAGCTTTTCGCCTCGACGTCGGCCGAACAGGCCGCCGCCGACAGGCGATTTTTCCGTGGCGGTTCCTCGTCGGACGGGACCACTAGCGTTACCGGGTTCTCCTACATTTCTGGCGAAATCTGTAAATACAACAACGGCGTCCAAACCCTGAGTCATTCCAATAGCAAACAGAGATCACTTCAACACCAGCAACAGTCATCCGGTTGCCGCGTTTACCATCCACACTCCTTACGCCGTTTTCGTGATTCTTAAATTGATTCTTATGTCGTGGGTCCGCCCCCACGCCCATACCCTAAGTTCCTCCCATCACGGATTTCACTTTTTCTCTCAACACTTAGGTTTAATAGGATTACTATTATTATTATTATTATTATTATTACTATAATAACTATTTAGTAACTCGACGGTCTGCTGTGGGTTAAGTCGAGTTATTACCCCCCCCCCCCCCCCCCGAACCCTGATTTATATTAGAATTTTACTGTATTCTATTAATTGTATGTCATAATGACATTATAAAATATAGTATACGTGTACGAACAATGTACATATAGTTAATAATTACAACAATTATTTAGAATAGTAAATATAACATTACAACGCAAACGCCAATGTGTATCGCTGACAATTCGGATCAGAATGAAATTCGCCGTGTTTCAGTTTATACTGATTCACTTTGTGTATTCGGATTATTGACTATTATCGTCTCGGTTTACGGGCAAGTTGCTGTTTGTGTTGTTATTGTCGCGTTTAACTATTTCTAAGCCATCGAATCGATTGCAAAGCGTGGGCGTCGAAAAAACTGACTGTTTCCTATATATTATACGCGATATACATATTATTGTAAAAGCGCGTGTATTATTATAGATCGACAAATATTCTGTGAAAACGTGACGATAGTTTTTTTTTCAAACAATCTAGTCTTAGAATAATAAATATTGTTTTATTGTGTGTATACTTACCCTAAATGTATTATAGCAGTTTTAAGACAAAAACATTTGTACCTATGTATATAATTTATTTTTGTTATTATTTTTTTCTGTAAACTGTCGTTGCATTTCTAGTACACTCTATTATTATCATCTTTGGATAACCAATGTAAGTTGACCACCCATCCTTTCTGCTTAGAAATTCAGCCGTCAACGCGGTTCTCTTACTTTTTGTTGGTTTGTCTTTATTACACCTACTATCAATATTATTACTATGACTATATTATACTTACTTATTATTATTAATTATTATGATTATTATTATTAATTATATTATATTATATTCAATGTAAAGGAAAACAAAATATAAAACGATTTACAGATACACAATTACCTTTTTTGTTTTTTTACAGAACCCGCTATTTGTATTTTAACAGTAGCCGTACGATGGTATATATTTTTATAATTTATTATTATTTTATTTTATTGAAAAAATGCACGTGGCGTCGTTATGCGCGGGTTGTGGTCTGAAACGATTAAAAAAATGCGGGATTCAATGTATTTATAAAAAAACAGCTTCGCTTGATTCTGACGTCTATGACTATTCGATATTACAATATATATATATATATAAGTTGATATTATATACAATCGACGGCGAAAACGTGTCGTGTGCTACACTATACCTATACTATCTCAGACTGCATGCATAATATAATTCCTATTGCATCACAACAGCCGCGCATACCGCACGATCCAACACTAGTCGACTCGGGATCGTTCGCCTCAAAGTACCTATATCAGTGCACAGCTATGGCATATAAATATATATGTTTTATACGTACCTGCATTTCTGATAGCGTTTATAGTCACCGCAATAGACGGAACAATTCGTAATACCCGAAGATCCAGTTAATTTTTATTCATTTTTAAACTATAAGCGGTTTCAGTTCAGTCTGCTATCAACATTTTTTGGTCGCGTTCAAATGTTTTATTATTGATAATTCCGTATTAATTACTTATATAGTGAATTTTTAAATGAAAACCGTAGAACACTCTTCGGATGTCAGTAAAATGACTTTGGATAGATTTAAAAAAAAAATTATAGCCGCAACACATTAAATAAATAAATCCACAGACCACATTACTTATTCATAATATAATAATACGGTCTTCTATGTTTAAGTAAATGGTATGCAAAATAAATAAAGTATATACAATATATAGCGAGCTGCTTAATGAAAACAATGACTGGCCAATAACGAATTTTGAATTAATTACTTCTCGGATTACGAGCATAAACAAATGGTAGCGTGAGGAAATGTCGATTTTAATTACATGTTTATCTAAAATTACTTTTACACTTACGACTACAATACAATGTTTTTAATTCGCTACTATTCTAAACGGGTTCTATAATTATTACATTATTATGTATATGATTCTATAAATATTTCAATAACAATTTTTATTAAATGCTATTAAATTGCGGTTATCAAATTAAACATGTATTAAATTACCGTGGTTTGAAATTCATATGTTGTGTGAGAAGTTGTCAATTTAGATAAAAAAAACCAAGGAAAAGACTAACTTACTAATTGTGTGAACACTATCGTAAAAAAAACCAAATTTATTACTGATTGTTGGTATAAGGTTTATGTCATCCGAGAACCTCAGTATCTATGGAAATATTTTGTACATAAATTCAATTAGTTATGTAGAATAAGTTCGAACAATCGAACATTGGTAAATGGTGTAAAGTCCATATTCACTAAGGTCCGTTTATTATCGCCATGTAAACTCACCTTAGATTTAGTTTAACCTACAATTAAGGATTCCATATATTTAACATTGTCTGTGTGGAAACAAAAAGAAAAATGTAAAGATAACACTCATCTAGTTTTGGTCGATAAGGGTTTTGCTAATAACTTTTAGTAAGACTTTGGGGAAAAAATGAGAAAAATAAGAAAATATTTCGGTTTATCCGGTCAACCTTTTTTGATCGTGTAGTTCTACTTTTGAATATTGTCAAACGACAATATAATTATAATGGCAGTGTGGGCTCGCGGAATTTTTGTGTGGGGTTTTAATTGCTATAAAAAATATATAGCTATACATATAATATACAGACTTCCTCTGTTACAATAGCGAGAAATATCTCTCTTGTTATTTTTAATGGGTATAAGTTTTTTTTAACGAAACCCTTTCATTTTGTACCTTTAAAATGTAAAAGAGTAAACTGGACTCAAACTGTAATTATTAATTAATATTATTCTATAGACGTTCGTGAAGCTTCGATATAAATAATTAATAAAACGTAATCATAAAAAAACAAAATAATTAGGTACAAGATTGAAGTCGCTTTCTTAGTTTTTGCAGGCACAACGTTTTTTATTGACTGGCAGCTTTTAAATTAAAATCTAATTTAAAATTTGCTTCTCAAAAATGTCTAAGAGTACACCGCACATCTCGTACTTAACAAAGTACTCTAATTAATATGTAATAAATAAAATTAAAATTCAATAAGCACATATTTTTAATGGAAGTATAGATTACCTAGTACATTTTAAATGCAAAAAACTGAAGAAAAAACCAATTTAATGTTTATTTTACTATTCGTTCAACGTTAGCTGTTTTTGTATACTTAAGTTAAATAATTTACTTATTCACTATTCCTAATAGAAAAATAAAACTATAGAATGTATATATTCGCATGAGCTGTTATTTCATTAATGATCAGAATAAGCTAATAACCAAAAATGACGTTCAAGTTAGTTTCCACTAAATGTTATAACATTATGATAACATTATGTTATTAAGACTAAAGCCATTTTTAATCTTAAAAATTGCTTGTGATATCTGAGCTTGTCTCATTGTTATATTGTATGTGCAAATCCGAAATCGTATAATGGTTTAGCCAGACATTCTTCATCGATTATAATTCGATTTATTGGTTTTATATAACTAAATTATTATCATTTTAAACCTTTCTTTAAGCCCAAAACCATGCAGCATTTCAAATCTAACTAATCATTTATTTTAAAATTATTAAATTTATTTTATTTTAAAGTCATTTTTAGTCTTCGAGCACTATCAACCTCTTCATAATAATGAATTACCATTCTATTATGTCCACAATTAAATTAAAAATATATTTTCTGTTTAAAGGTTCTTGGCAATTATTCCAACAATATCATCATAATTAGACTTCAAAGTAGTTAATTCTTCATTAGCACCTTCAAGATGAAATACAGCTTTGTGTATATTTCAGTATATTGACTGAAGGGTAAAAACTACAATATGTAACATTCGTAATAACTGATTATCAAGATAATAAACTTATACTGCCGTTTAAGTACACCGTTTATTTTTTAAATTTAAATTAATATATGGGTTGTGTGCCATTAAATTTAAACGAAACTGACTAAATGCTTGTGTTAATCCATGAAGTTTGTTCGACACCCTAATTATTAAGTATGCTCTAAAAATTAAGTACAAATAATAAATATTACTACAACATATGCGCACTTAAAGTAAAGTAAGTAACAAAAAAGGGATGTTACTACGTAGCTACAATAATTATGTATAAGGTTATTGGTTACCTGTTATTATTAAATTTAAACAATGATAATAAATTATAAATATGGATATTGTACAATTTGTATGCATTAAAAGCCCAAAATATCAGGTACTTTTAATTCCATAAATGAATTTGTCATAACTCATAAATAACTAACATAATACAAGTTGTGTAAGGAAAAACATGTAATTATTAGCTAAAATAATTGAGAAAAAAAAATGAAATCTTTTGACATTTAATATTGTTTATTGGTATTAAATACTCATCTAAAAAGAGGAGTCACTTTATTTTTAAACTTGGAAGCGTAAGATATTGAAAATGACGTGACCTCTTTTTAAAGTTGAGGATTTTGCACAGGTTACGAAATTACAATTGAAATTTTTTTTAATTTATAATTTTCGAACCTAAGAGGTTAAGTCTTTAATTTTTGAGATAGTCAAAATTAGATAACTAGGCGCTTATTTATATACCTCACTGATGTCCACCCATATATTAGTTTAGTCTGGTGCCGGAACACCCTAAGTTTAAATACGAAATATACCTATACGATTATTATTACTAATATTAATTACTTATTAATTGTTATTTTATTAATTATTAATTACTAATATTATTACAATTATAAATATTATTTCTTATCTGCACAAAATAACAGATCAACCGGTATAATATTTTGTACCTATTGATCAACAACATGTTTGTTTGGCAAACATGTTGTATACATTTATACCATTATTATCATAATGTTGTACGATTATTCTGCTTTAGAACAAAATCTAAAATAAATACATATTATTATTTTGAATACACTGTTATAGTTTTGACAATAATATTTTGATAATTGTATAATACAATCGATTAATGCACAAAATCATGTATAATAACACTATATTTTTAATACAGCACATTGCAATAAAGATTATTATTATGCATTGTCATTATGCTAATAAAATGTAAATCTATCTATTTTTTATGATCAGTAATTACATTGCTATTATATCGCTTGTATACATACATCGGTCGATGTCAATACATTTAGCATCTACAAGCGGTTAAAAGCCCGATAAAAAGTATAAATATTACATACAAGATGAGAGAGGCAGCTTATTTACTAACTAAATTAAAATCTCAACGAATTCAGCCGACAAGTTTCAGTAAATAAAGTCATAAAAAACCCACTACACATTTTTAGCTCAAAGGTTTTCCATTATTACATCTACTTTAAAGTGTCTGAAATATTAATTAAGACAACAATTAAAAAATAGTCTTTATATTTAAATATCATACCACAACGGTCTGTAGGTAGAGCATTTTCAAACGAGAGTCATAGTGTACCTTAACCCCTCCCTTCACTCACTCTTTGGAGGTTTTACTATATCTATAAATGAATATATCTATATCGTTATGAGCTATTAAACAATTTTAAGTGAAAATTATAACCGTTCTCTGCAATTGCCATGCAGTGGATGCCTTGAAATCTAGACTCGGCACATTTATGTCATATTATAATTACTAACGTTAGGCGTTTTCAATACTTATACAATATTACAATAAGACTACAATATTTCATCAATCAGTTCTATATATACTATTCAATTCCTATATGTATTTTAAAAATCAAACACCGATGCAAACGTATTTTTATTTTTAGCTAATAAAAAACGATTTATTATTACACGAAGAGGAAGTATCGGGATTTTTCGGATCTACCCGTATCTCCTTTTTGGCATAACCATAATTTGGTTTCCATCACTTTGGACGACACGCAATAGGATCAAGAGAGAAAAATTGTTTTCTAAACAGGTTAGAC